GGGCGCTCCGACCCTGGTGGCCGGCCCAACTCTTCCTGGTCGCTGGCGCAGCTGTCTTCCAGGGCGGGGGCGGGGCCTCCGCTTGCTTGGCCTCCTTCGCCTTGTCCCGCTTGGCCTTGCTCGGCCTCGGCTGGCCTGTGCGACGCCTCGCCGCTGCCTTCGTCGTCCTCTCTGGCGATCCCGGCGGCGAAGTCGCCCTCTCCTTCGGGGCTGGCTTGAGCGTCAGCCTGGGGGAGCGTCCGCCAGGTCCCACGCCACCAGACGCGCAGCCCTCTGGCGACGGCTCCTTCTCCCCTTCGCTCGCGCTGGCCTCGTCCGAGGACGGCATCTCCTCGCTGTTGCTTGCCTCGGGGCTCTCCTCGGCCGTCGGCGACCTCCGCGGGTCCCGTCGCCGAGGGGCCTCCTGGCACCTCGGGCGCTTGTCCCGCACCCTCCTCGACGGCTTAGCCGGCGCCTGCCCCCTCTTGCGCGGGGGCGTCGTCGCACTCGCCGCCTCCGTCGAGTCGCTGTCCGACCCGGACTCCTCCGACGAGCGCTGTCTCCGCTCGGAGTCCCGGGCCGACCGCCTCCTTGCCTCCGGAGGCGGGGCCTGCCTCGCCGCCTCCGCCGGCTCGCGCGGGGAGCCCCTCGGGGCCCGCGCACGTGGCTCCGCCCGCAGCTTCGCTCCTGGGGCTACGTGGCGGCCCTCCGTCGGCGAAGTCGGGGCAGGAGGGGCCCGGGTCTTCGGCTCGCGCGGGGAGCCCTCCTCGGCCCTCGCGGCTGCCTCCACCGGCGTCACTTCCTTCCGCGGCAGCGGGCGCTCCTGGAGCTCGCGCGGGGAGCCCACGGGGGCCCGCGCGCGAGAGTCCGGTTCCGTCGTGTGCCCGCTGGCCTCCACCAGCTTCTGCACGACCTCGCCCACCTGCTTCCTCACCTCCTCGACGATGTCCTTCCACAAGTCGGCTCTCGCCGCCGCCATTTGCTCTCGAACTTCGCCCCGTAGCACTACCCGGATGTCCCCCCCCTCCTCGCTTGACGAGTGGGCGGCCGTCATGCCATGCCGAAAGTGCACGGCTCCGGGGCATTGCTCCGAGCCCATGGCCCACGCCCGTGTGCCGTTTCGAAGTACGCGGGCGTCAGCGCTGGCGAATCCCTCGAGCCAGAGCCGAAACGGCTCGGAGGAGGGGGAGGGGGGGGAGGAGGAGGAGGAGGAGGAGGAGGAGGAGGAGGAGGAGGAGGAGGGGTGGAGGGAGGAGGAGGAGGAGGAGGAGGAGGAGGAGGAGGAGGGAGGAGGAGGAGGGGGAGGAAGAGGAGGAGGAGGAGGAGGAGGAGGGGGGGAGGAGGAGGAGGAGGAGGAGGAGGAGGAGGAGGAGGAGGAGGAGGGGAGGAGGAGGAGGGGGAGGAGGAGCGTGGGAGGAGAGGAAGAAAAGGAGGGGAGGAGAAGGAGGAGGAGGCGGAAGAGGAGGAGGAGTGAGGATGAGGAGAGGAAGGAGAGGAGAAGGAGAAGGAGGAGGAGGGGGAGTAGGAGGAGGAGGAGGAGGGGAGGTGGAGGAAGGAAGGGATGAGGAGGAGGACGGAGGAGGAGGAGGAGAGGAGGAGAGGATGGAGGCTGCAAGGAGGAGGAGGAGGAGGAGGAGGGAGGACATGTTTGGAGAGGAGCGTGGCTCGGTTGAGCTGCCAGCTGCCCCAGAGGCCCCCAGCTGCCTGCGAGGAGGCGGCGCCGCCCTCGTCGGCCAGGCTCCTGCCGCGGAGCGCGGGCGGGTAATGGTGCCGGCGAGCGAGCGAGGCCTGGCCGAGGCCCAGGGGCGTCGCAGCGGGAAGCGGACTGGAGTCGGGCCTGTCCATCTACAGAAAGAGTATACAAACATAGTATAAAAAATTGTCTGGGAACGATGTTTGAACTTTGTTGAAAAGGTCTGGTGTATTTTGTGCTACTGAATTTCGTCCCAAAATCCACCTGTGGGGGGACACGCCCGACCAAAAACTGGACTCGGCGGGCCGCCCGGAGGGGGGCGGGGCAGATGGGGCCAGCAGCCTCGGACGCACGGCAGGCTCACTCGCGCGTTTGTACTGTCATGGAGCGCTCCAACAGACAACGCAAATAATGGTGAGGGGCAACGATAGCGGGGATGGGCATAAGGGGGGATGCATTGATCTGAAATCGGCGATACATCGTCGATGGATCGGCGATAGGCCCCCGATAGTGAATCGCCTTCCTGGGACGTGTGGGGCTATCGGGCCCCCATCGGCGATCAATGGGCGATTGGGGGTTGATGCATTCCCCCGAACCTCTTCCCCCCCTATCGTTGCCCCTGAAATGAGCCAAGCTACCGCGACCGGCGCGGACTGGGATAGATAAAGCGCGCTGCGTGGAGAACGCATGGAACTCGAACAAGCAGCAGCGCCTCCTAGCGGCGCGCGCTGTAAGCCAGAGGTGACATGACTAGAGGCCTCCTAGATAGGGTCGGAGTCGTTGGGGTCGGAGGATCGCGCCGCATCGCCAATGCGTCGCCGATGCCTCGACGATGCGGCGCGATCCTGCGACCCCATTCAGGAGGCCTGGAAGGACAGAGTCTGCCAGAAAAGCCTACCCTGGCCGCGACACCTCACTCTTCTTGCGCCTCTCGGCAGGCGGCCGGAGGCTCCCTCGAGGCCCTCACGCGGTCCGAGGAGGCCGCCAATGGCTTCGGAGCGGAGGGCCCCTCGAGGGTGCCTTCGGCGGCGGCTGCCTGCTGGGAATCGGCCGGCCACCGTCCGCCTTCCCTCCCAAGCGCGCCAGCCAGACACCAGCCTTGCATGTGCACTAGGTCGGGCGTCCTCCTGCAGGCGGGCTTTCGACGAAACAGATGACATAGTCAAAACATACTTTTAAACTAATCAAGAATACTTTTTGAAAATAGGTTTGGACTACTTTGAACAGTCCTCCTGTAGGGAGACACGCCCGACTGAACATGTGCACCGTCCTCTGACTTGGCGCCCGCGCCATTGGCGCCCGCGCCATTGACGTCGAACTCTGTTCGGGGTCCTCCAGATTGGCGCCCGCGCCATTTGAGGCAGAGTGGCGCCCATTGCTTTACCGCGCCCTGCCGCGGAGGAGATGGAGGAGTCGAGGGCGCCAGTGAGACTCGAGCGCTGTGGTCGCTCAGGTGGCATCGACCATGTAAGCACCACACAATCCGATCCGCCCACCCCTCCGCCCCTCTAGTCCCCCGCCCTCTGTGATTCCCCCTCCCCGAACTCTCCCCCCACCCCGCTCACTCTCGTATGGGGTGAGGAGGTTGGGGATGATCAGATCGGTGGGTGTCGCGACGACTGCGCATAGGAGCTGCAGGAAACGCGATGCGAACAACAGAGACCCAGACCGCATGAACGACCGAGCCGCCCTAACTACAACCACTGCAACATGCACTCCAAAAACTGCCAGACAGGCACAAACGTAAATCGACGTCCAATCGGTGATAACGACTCCGCCATCCTGGCCATCGCTCGGACGTGCATTTTCTGTGTTTTTTTCGGTTTCGTGCGTAGTTTTTTCCCCAAATGATCAAGGATGCTCCTCGATGGTCCTCGCCGAAGGAAAAATGCACACGTCCGAGCGATGCCAAGCATCAGATCCGCGCAACCAACTGGCAAAAGGTTGGCAAGTCGAGGAAAACAGAAAGAAAATATCAAGAAATCCGCTGGCCCCCGCCGGCTGGGGGTGAAAAGGCCTGTGAGACATTTGGATGTCCCCCCCCCTCCGTGAGGCGAAGCCAAGACGAGGATAAATTCGGGTGAGGATAAGTCGAGGATCTCTGACATCCGGCGGATCTGGAGGATGTCTCGGGCGCCGCGGCCTTCTCAAAGCGTTCCGGAACGCTGTGGGAGCGTTCCGGAACGCTCAGGAATAGATTTGTCCTCGTCCAAGCCCCGTCCGACTCTCCTCATCAATTGGCGACGATAACGCGGCCACTCAGAGGGCGGGTTCTCTTGACCGGATTCTGGCATCCTGCTGGTGGTTTCCTTCCTGCCTCCGCGTCCCCCTCCGCAGGGGTTCAAAATCGAGCTAACGGGGGTGCGAGCGGGGGGGGCGCGCTCGCCAATGCAACAACCCTGGGGGCCTAGGGGGCTTCCAAATCGACGCTTCGTGGCGCCCGAGATGCCCCATATGCTCTCCAGGATGGCTTAGGCTGTGCTCCAACACGCCGAGGAAGCATCAGAAGCAGCCCAGAGGGCTTCAAAACTGGCCAAGAGGCTTCCAAGTCGGTCCGAGCTGGCTCCAAGACGTCCCTCAAGATGGCCCCCAGAAGCAAAAATCGTTCCAACCCCTAGGGAAACCGTATAATTTTAGCATATTCGTATTCTTGGTCTCGACAACGTCCACGACGGCTCACGAGGCCCCGAAGATCACTCGAAGACCGCTCAAAAAGCCCCCAAGAGGGCCCCCAAATGGCACAAGAAAGCCTCAAGATGGCCCAAAAGGCACCCAAGATTGCCCCAGAGGGCCCAGGAATGCCGAAAGAGGGGCCCAAGAGAGGCAACACGAACTGACATTCCGAGCCCTCCGCCCCAAGAGGACTCCCGAGACCGTCGGTAAGCGACAAGAACCTCCCACGAAGACCCCAAAAGCGCCGAAACGGCCCCCAGAAAAGGGCCCCCAGAGTGTCACCGAGAGGCCCGACCCGTGGACTTCTGACCTCGTCTGGGTGGGGGTCGGCGGAATGGCGTAAGCCTCTCGAGTAAGAGGCGCAATGGACCGTCTGTGGCCATGCCGTCACGAGCTGCGCCAGAACATGTGCACGCCACTTGTCCCTTCCCGACGCGAACTTCTCGAGTCAGAACTGGGCCTCCTAACCAACACTTTCACACACCGCGTTATCGGAGAGACTGTCGTGACACCACAGCGAGACGGTATAACACGTCGTACTGCAAGCCCCTCCCTAGTTACACACGTGGTCCTCGATGAGGAAAAATGTCGCAAAAACTTATACACTGGGATGGCCTGCATTTGCATGCTCCGTAGGCGGGGGAGCGGGTCAGATCCGAAGAAACTGGAATGGGCTTGCAAGGAGTCGCTACGTCTGGAACCGAGACCGTGGGTGTACTTCACACGCTCAGACAAACAGACACGCATGCACGAGCAAGACGCTGGGATCACCGTACAACGCACCGTCGAATGTTCACGGCGGAGCCTCACTCAACTGGGCGCTCATGGGGGCACCAGGCTGTAGATGGTCCCTGCTGGACTGCTATGCTGCTGTGGGTGTCGTGCCACCTTGCCGTGTGTCTGTCTCTTGTTTCTGGTGTCTTGCCTATGGTCTGTCACTTTCTGGTGTCTCCGTCTCCGTCCTCTGTCCTTGTGCTGCCCCTTGTATGTTATATGTTGTCCTGTCTCTCATTTCCTGACTCTGATCCCTCCAACCTCTAATCAACAACAATGATCCGAAACAACAACGCAATAATATCTCACCAGGCAAGCCCGGAATCACGCGAGGGCCAACCTACAATGCGCAAGCCACCAAACAAACCTTGGCCTGAACAGAACACAAATATCCTGGCGAAGGACCCGACCATCTGCAATTGTGGGTACCGTGCTTGTGAATATCGCCTTCAATGGAACTCCTTGTGGGGCCACGAAACGTCTGAGGGGTGTGCCGCAATGAGCCTGGGGGCGCATGCGGTCGCTGCTACTGGGGCCTCCGTTGGAATTCCACATGGGTACTCGAAATGTGTGAGTGGTGTGCCGAAGTGGGCCTTGGGGATGCACGCGGGCGTTGACATTGGGGCGAAACGTGTGAGTGGTGTGCCGAAATGGAATTGGGAGCGCATGCGGGCCCTGCCACTGGGTCCGGTGGAGCTCTGTATGGCGGCCACGAAGCGGGTGAGTGGTGTGCCGAAGTGGGCCTGGGGACGCATGCGAGCTGTGCCCCCGGGTCTCAGTTGGAGCTCCCTGTGGGCCCATGGGAAGGGTGCGCCGAGATGGGCTGGGGGGGCCGCGTGCGGCAACACCTGGGGCCCAGTGGGAGCTCCCTGCGGGGCCACGAAACGCGTGAGGGGCGTGCCGACATGTCTGGGGGGCTGCCTGCCTGCCCCCGCCCCCCCCGGGGCCTTCGCTGGAGCTGCCCAGGGGGCCACGGAGCGTGTGTGGGGTGTGCCGACGTGGGGCGTAGCGAGGTGTGTCAGGGGCGCAGCGACAGGGGCCTGCGGAGGGCAGAGGCGGGGGGGGGGTCGTCGCCGTCGAGCGCTGGGAATGGCAAGAGCGTCGTCGTCGAGCGGGGGGGTCGTCGTCGTGGAGCGTCGTCGTCGAAGACGACTCTAACGCTGGGAAGCGCAGGGTGAAGCTCACCTCAAGGTTCAACTCTGACTCTGACTGTAACGGCAGAGGCGGGGAGGAAGGTGGGATGTTCGATGACCCTCAGAACGTGTGTTGGCACCACAGTGCGTCTGTCCACCGAGGCCCTTCAATACAGCGCATTCGGCTAAACGGGGGCCAACACAGACTGCTCACTATCGGCGGAGCCGACAGGGGTAAACACATGTTTGGGCTTACACACGTTCTGAGGATCATCGGGAGGTGATCGGGGGCGGCCAAGAGGGGGGCGTCCAAGAGGGGGGGGCGCAAATCATGGCCGGCGGCATGCGTGCGGCCCTGCGGGGGGGGGGAGGGGCCGGGGACGCATTCAAGTAAGGAGAGGGATCCTGAAATCTGGGGAGACATCATGCCCCCCGCCACGAGATCCCCCCCCCCTGGTCCTCGCCCCCCTCTCTTGGCCGCTCCCGAGGCGACGGCGCTGCTCCTCCAAAACGAGGGGAGGGTGCTCGCCCCCCCGAGGGCGAGGCCCGGACGTGGGCCCCGAGAGCTGCGAGAGACGATCGGGCGAGCAGCTCTCGGGGGCGTTCAAAGAGGGGGGGGGGGGTGCAAAGCATGGCCCTCGGGGATCCGCGGACCCGGGTCAATGCAGACCCGGGTCAGCCGGGCCTTGCAGGATCCTGCAAAATCCCGCAGGATCCTGCACCCAAGCCTGGGTCAATGCGAGGGATCCTGCAGGATCCCGCACCCAAACCCGGGTCAATGCGAACTTGGCCGTGCAGGATCCTGCAGGATTGGGCGCTCTGGCTGACCCCCGTTTGCATTGACCCCCGTCTCAAGGCTCCCGAGGCCCGAGGCCTGTGCGCGGACCGGGGGGGGCCAGGGAACGCATTCAAGTAACAAGAGGCGCCATGATATCATGGCCCCCGCCATAAGATACCCCCCCCCAAGTCATGACCCCCTCTTGGCCGCCCCCAAATCTCGGCCGCGTGCCCTCTGCTGGACAAGCGCGCTCAACGACTCGCAGAGGAACTGCTCGCCAGTGGCCTCGATCCGCCGCGGGGGATCTGCGATCCAATACAGTACATCGAGGCATGCATGTGCCTCTCGAGCGCTTGCGTGCAGGCACTCTGCGAGTATAGTGGCACGCGCAGACGACCGGGGGACCGTTGATTTGCGCCCGGGGACCGCGGCGCCACTGCAGCCGCCTCGAGGAGGTGTGCCTTGGCCCCCCCGGCCGCACCCAGCTGGCCTGGGGCCTCCTCCGAGGATGCCACGGGAGGGCCAAGAGGCCTGCAGGGGCCCCCGGGCGGCTTGCCCCCCCAGAAAGGCCCCAGGTGGCCCCAAGGTGGCTCTGCGACGGTCCCGGATGGGCTCCGAGAACGCACCAGTAGGGCCCCCAGGACGTTCCGAAAGGCGCCACCTCATGGACAAAAGCAGTGCATGATGGACGTCCTCTCTGAGCCGCCTGCTTACTTCCCAAGACGTCCCAAGTTGGGTCGCACAATCTGGCTTCGAGCTGGCCCCAAGGCGCCACCAACATCGCCCCAAGATGCCAGAGGCTGTCCTCAGAATTCGTTCAAGGGTCACGAAGATGCCCCCCAGATGGCCCTGGTGACATACGTACTCCCCAGAGGCCCTGGATGCCTCCTAGAAGCTCGCAGATGGCCCGAGAACGCGTCAGGTGGGCTCCAGTGTGGTCCCAAGGTGTTCCCAAGCTGGGTTCGCATGGGGGCTGGCGGCAGAGGGCGCATCTCCTCACATTCACCACAACACCCACCCCAAAGCTCAGTCGTTCCCTTAATAACTGGCCATCGCTCGGACGTCCATTCCGTATATGTTTGTTCGGTTTCGTGCATGGTTTTTTCCCCAAATGATGAAGGATGCTCCTCGATGGTCCTCGCCGAAGGAAAAACGCACACGTCCGAGCGATGCCAAGATAAGCATCATCAAACTATCGGCGGCCTGCGTCACTGGCGGGCTCCGCGCGCCTGGGGCGGCTCCGGAGGCGCCGCCAGGGGGGCCACGCGCCGATCCACGACATCCGCGCGGACCTCGCACAGCGTGTCTTGTAAGTTCTCTCGGGGATGGACAGACCTCCCTTTAGTAAAACGTGGTTTAGTGAAAACGACCTGAGGCCCAAAACTGGCGGGCGCAAGCCTGGAAAATAGCGGCCACGGCGCCATCTCGAGAACCGAAGACGGACAATCCACTGATCGACGTGTCACTGTTGGGGGTTCTGTCCGCCCCCGATTCTCTTGGAAGTGCGCATCGAGGCGTTGGAACCCGCAAGGGCGAAGGCGAGAGGCAACAGCGTCACCTCCAGGCTCCCTCCAGCGCGCAGGCGGGCGCGGGCAGCGGGCGAGCAGGGTGGGCTCCGAAGGTGCTGCTGGTCCTGCAAGAACTGCATGGCCTGGGCGGGGCAGCGGACAACAGCTCGGACGGCTACGACCAGCAGGAACATTTGGCGACGGGCAGAAGGCGGTAAGGGGGAGGGGGGAAGGCTTCTTAGAAGAAGGCTGCTTCTTAGAAGGCGCCAAGAATACACCTACAGACAAAGCCCGCGCCTTCTCAGAAGCAGGGGTGCTTCCAAGAGGCCTCCCCCCCCCTCCCCCCTCCCCCCCCTCTGCGCGTGGCCGAAGCAAAGAGTCATCGTGATGCCACACAAGGAGCGCTGAATCAGGCACCGAAGGGCCTCTCTGGCAACGGCGAGCCTCGGACACGAGTAGGCTCACACGGCCTGGATGTGAGGAAGGGGCCGGCATTAGAGCACCTCCTCCGCCCACAACGGTTACGCATGCAACGTGTTGACTGTACTCCCGTCTGTGACTGTGCTGTCTTCGCCAAGCTAACCAGCTGCACATGGCCAAACAATCGAAGGCAACGTTTCACCTGTCTGCACGTGTTCAGGGAATGCATCCATGCCTCCAGCCATCCACATGTTGACATACAAGCACCTCCGCTCCAGAAACTGAGCAACCACATCAACGACAATCTGAATAGATCACGGGAGTACACGACGGATGTGAGAGTTGTTCTTTCTTCACGTTTGTGCCTGGGGAAGCTTCCCCCATCGAGAGAAGCACCGCAATAGGAGTGCCCCCCACCCCCACACGAAACCAACTGCGACCCCAACGCAGCTGTCCTCACTTCTCAGCGGACACTAAGCTCTGGACGATGGCTGAAGAAGGATTCAGTTCCTCAGCGATCCGCGTCGGGGGCCTGCTGAAGAGGAAAGCGTCGTAGCCTTTGCTGCGGCCTCCTTGGCCTGGACCCTCTGCAAAAGAGCAGCCATCCTCGTATTCTGGGGGAGCGTATCCAAATTGGTTGTGCTCGAGGCGGCCTCAGAGGGAGGCGGCAGCTTGGGAACAGAATATAGAAAAGCTGCACCCCTGCGAGCCCTGGTCGACATCGTGGACTTATCACGGGAACGATAGTGAAGACCTGCGTACATCCTACGCAAAGAGGTGGAAACGCATGAGAGGTTCTGTCACAAGCACTCCTTACCCAACATGTGGCAACGGTTCGCAGTACGAGCACCGCAAACCATACAGAAAAACATGGTCCGGTCCCCGGGACCTCGCTGCACACGCCAGTGGGCTGGTGTGTGCCCAAGGGAAGAGGCACAATGCAGACCTCATCTTGTCACTCATGCCTTTGCAACCGAGCATTGGTCTCGAGGCGGGGTCCGTCGAAAGGCACAGGCATCTCAGGGACCTGGAGCGGCTGAAGGAGATGGACGAGTGGGATTTTGGACAAGGACGGGGCGGGGGAGGGGGACCAGCGTGATTCAGGCTCCCTGGATCGAATAGATAACCTCATCGTTGTCCATCCCTACCTCGTGCTGCTCCTCCCCCCCATCTCATCATACCCCTCCCTCCTACATAACCTTCTCCACATGAACTGATCCTCCGCCAGGCAACATCGCCCTCATCCCCACCATCGCTCTTGTCATCGCCCTTAGCCTCCACGTGGTAATACAGCTCCCCGAGTATCAGCCGCGCAAAGAACTATCACGACGACTATGCCACAGTGACTTTCCACTGAGGCGTGGGGACCACTCACACCTCGGGGTGTGGCATTGAAGACATGAAATTGATAACAAAACGATGTCGGGCAAACCGACAGGATAGGAAGTAAGGATGCAAGTACTCCGAACGTTCAAAATGCAAAACTGTAGCTCGTTGACTTTGGCGGGGAACAGTGAGAAATGCTACAATACAATATTGGCAGAACCCCTTATCCGCATTGGGGGAGGAGGGCAACTGTTGTCAGTACAAAATCATACACTGCTATGCGGCGACTGCTCAGATGCCAATCCTATGCATCACGACTCCCGTTTTCAGCACGCTGCTAAATCAGCCTCATGAGGCACATGAGGCAGCAACCCGAGCGGGCCCATCTTTCGAACATCCACAGAGGCGGGTCAACATTTGAGGGAACCCCGTGGCGAAACAACCCCCAACGGGGGTGTATCGGGTACACCAGTGTCGGCCGGTGCACAAGGGAGAGACTCGGACGTTCTATGCCGAAGCTGTTGAGGGCCTCCGCGCCGCATGCGAGACTGGCACTACACGATGCTAAGCATTCCAGTGCTATCTGAGGCTATCCGAAGCAGTCTGGGCACAATGTCCGAATTGCCAGGGCGAAAGTGGCCCCTCACAGGCTCCACGTACGCGACGTGTGGTTGCAGACGCCCCGCAACACTGCATAACCATGAACAATCGGAGATCCGCGCGGCATCCCCGTCGCGAGAAATGCGGCATGGGGAGCGCCCGAGGCATCGAACCAAACAATCCGCGCGGACGTCAGAACATACATGTTTATGCCGTGTGATGTGCCTCCACAAGCGGTGCGGCGACAGGCCGTGCGGTTACCTCGAAATGCCAAACGACCTCACACCGCACGGTCTGTCACCAGTCACCACACGGTTTGGGGACATTTGGAGGCCCCAGCCGACCGAGGCATCCTCTGAGAGCGACCCAAGGTCCCAAGCCCGTGCGGCCCTCCTCATCGACTCACTCGACGGTGTGGTCACCGCGCCTTTCCTCGAGAGAGGCCCCACTGAGACAACGGCGGCTCTCCCACCCAACCATACTGAGGAGAACACGCAATGACAGGAACAGAAAAGCTCGGAGGCCTGCGCTGATTTCTCGGACCCGCGCTGGACCCCCCTCCCTGAGGGCGCGCGGAGGGCGCCAGGGGCGGCGCCGGAGGCGCCTCCAGAGGCGCCCCCGGCGCCGATCCGAGAAATCTGCGCGGACATCCGACGAGTCTTTATGTCCATGTCATTGCGTGTTCCCCTTTTAATCCGCTCAAGCTCGGTCCCAGGACCCCTCCATGGGTCCATCCTGACCAGCTTTTTCGACGCGGACCCTCCTCCTCCTCCTCCTCCTCCGCCTTCGCCTCCTCCTCCTCCTCCTCCTCCTCCTCCTCCGCCTCCGCCTTCGCCTCCTCCTCCCTCCTCCTCCTCCTCCTCCTCCTCCTTCTCCTCCTCCTCCTCCTCCTCCTCCTCCCTCCTCCTCCTCCTCCTCCTCCTCCTCCCTCCTCCTCCTCCTCCTCCTCCTCCTCCTCTCCTCCTCCTCCTCCTCCTCCTCCTCCTCCTCCTCCTCCTCCTCCCCCTCCTCCTCCTCCTCCTCCTCCTCCTCCTCCTCCTCCTTCCTCCTCCTCCTCCTCCTCCTCCTCCTCCTCCTCCTCCTCCTCCTCCTCTCCCTCCTCTCCTCCTCCTCCTCCCCCTCCGCCTCCTCCTCCGCCTCCTCCTCCTCCTCCTTGCCAGGGTCTCCAGGAGGCCCCCGAAGGGCCGCTGCCGCCTCGGCCGGCCGCCCTCCGAGAGCCTCGAGAGCCTCTGGCTCGGGCGTCGGCGCGCGGCGCCCCCGCCGTGAGGCCCTCGAAGCGACGAGGCCGTCTTCTGACCGTTGGGAGGCACCTACTGCGGAGCATTTTCTTTGGGTGGAGGGCTCAGGGCGCCCCCGCCCGAGGCCCTGGAAGCGACGAGGCCGTATCTTGACAGTTGGGAGGCACCTACTGCGGAGCATTTTCTTAGGGTGGAGGGCTCAGGGTGAAATCCATATGGGCTTTTGCACCTCGAAGATCAATCCGTCTTGTGACCAACCTTTTGGAGATCCAACCTTCGAAAATCCATCGAAACGGCACTTCAGATTTCACCCTGTGCCAGAGGCCTCCCTCTCTGGTGCGCGGAGCGCGCCAGGGGCGGCGCCGGAGGCGCCGCTGGGGGGCCCAGGCGCGGATCCAAGAAATCCGCGCGCAACGTCAGAAAAGTTGATGTTTATATGGTTTTCCCCTCGGATTTTGAAGGATCAAGCCCCATTGGGGGGCTACTGCGCCGGACTGGGTCATGGACTAAGTGGGATTAGGCCGTACCAAGCGGGATTAAGCTGGGTCGAGCGGGATCAAGTCGGCTTTAGCCGGATTTTGGACCAGGGCAAGCTCAGAATTTGTCCGCCCAGGGGATGGGGGGTTACAAGTGGATGCTAAAACGGGCTTCATCTGGCCTAACCCACCTTATGTAGGTTACAGAGGCCCCGTGTGGCTTGCGATGGTGAGGTAGCTCCGCTGAGTGGGCTCCGCCCACTTAGCCCAGATCTCTGCGCCCTCAAGCCACTCAGGGCACGTGCAGCCCAATTCTGAGCTGGCTCAGGCTGGACAGAGCCCACCTTCGCACCCACTTGTGCCCCCCCTTCTCCTCTCAGCAACCCCCGTGGCGATCCGAGTAGGCCCCCGCCCCCAGGCCTTCAGGATGTTCCACGAGGGGGGCAGCAGCACCGGCGCGGACCGCGGCTGCCGGGGCGGCGGGGCGCTGGGCGGCCGCTGCTGCGCCTCGCCGTGCGGACCCGGGGGAGCAGGGGACCCTGACCTTCAGAAGCACTGAGCCCGAAACACGCCCGCACATAGGCACCGTCTGTAGGGTGCTGCGGAGCAGCAGAACATGAGGCCCAGTCCAAGGTATTGTAGTTTCTGATCGCTTGCTTGCCCTTGGTGCTGAAGATCTCATTACTCTTCCAGGAAATAGAATGGCATGAGGACCTCGACATCTAAACTCATGTCGGCGCTTTAGGCACGCATTCAATCCAAGACGAGCGGAAGATCCCGTGATCTACTTACTATACGCAGGCGGCATCTGTACACCACCACCGTGCCAAGCCGGCCATCTTGGCCCTGGCATGGTGTATACGCCCTCCTGGCCGAGGCCAGGAGGGTCTATACACCATCCTGGGGCCACGATGGCCCTGGCCTGGCACGGTGGTGGTGTATAGACGCCTTCGTCGGATACATTCTAAGGCTCGAACTCGTCGGATACCATCTGAGACCGCACGTGCACGCTCCGGTCGGCATGCGCGGCGCTCGATTCCGGCTGGGTCCTGGCGATCATCATCATCATCATCATCATCATCATCATCATCATCATCATCATCATAATCATCATCATCATCACCATCACCATCATCATCATCATCATCATCACCACCACCACCATCATCATATCATAATCATCATCATCACCATCATCAATAATCATCATCACCATCATCAATAATCCGCCGACCCTGTCGGCGTGTGTGAGGGGTTTCTCCGTTCGACTCGTCGTCTCCGTCGTCTCCGTTCTCCCCCTCCCAAGGCTCTCCTCCTCAAACGCGCTACCCAAAGCGAAATTAAACGACGTCCTAGTGGAGTCGAAGGGAAGTGCCTTCCCTCTGATCCCTTCCCCGCAGGGGGGGCGGGTGGAGGGGGGCGGGGGTCCCGGGGCAGATACGACGCCCGCCGGGGCGCACTTTCCTCGAGCGGGCACGCACGGGATGCACTTCCTCCTCCTCCTCCTCCTCCTGGTCCTCCTCCTCCTCCTTTTCCTCCTCCTCCTCCTCCTGCTCCTCTCCTCCTTCTCCTTCTCCTCCTCCCCCTCTTCCTCCTCCTCCTCCTCCTCCTCCTCCTCCTCCTCCTCCTCCTCCTCCTCCTCCTCCTCCCGCAGAGGCGTCCCGGGAGCGGGCCCCGAGTCAAAATACCACCCCCCTAGGGCGCATTTTCCTCGAGCGGGCACGCCCGAGATGCACTTCTTCCTCTTCCGGGAGCACGTCCCAAGTCAGAATATCACACTCCCGGGGCGCACTTTCTTCGAGCGGGCACACAAAGGATGCACTCCTCCTCCTCCTCCTCCTCCTCCTCTTCCTCCTCCTCCTCCTCCTCCTCCTCCTCCTCCTCCTCCTCCTTCGCCTCCTCCTCCTCCTGCTCCTCCTGCTCCTCCTCTCCTCCTCCTCCTCCTCCTCTCCTCCTCCTCCTCCTCCTGCTCCTCCTCCTGCTCCTCCTCTTCCCTCCTCCTCCTCCTCCTCCTCCTCCTCCTCCTCCTCCTCCTCCTCCTCCTCCTCCTCCTCCTCCCCCTCCCCCTCCTCCTCCCCTCCCCCTCCTCCTCCTCCTCCTCCTCCTCCCTCCTCCTCCTCCTCCTCCTCCTCCCACTCCTAGCCCTTTCGATCAGGGTCGGCGGCACCGGCCGTCAGGCCTCTCCAATCATCATCATCATCATCGTCGTCGTCCTCCTCACCAGCCTCATCAGCACCATCATCATCAGCCTCAGCAACAGCACCATCACCATCACAATCGCCATCATCCTTCTCCTCCCTCCACATCATCATCACAATTATAGTCATTATCATCGTCACCACCACCACCACGATCATCATCAGCAGCATCATCACCATCATCAAGAATCGTCATCATCATCAGTGCCTCTTCATCGTACTCACCATGGATGTTATAAGCATCATGATCATTGTCATCATGGTCAGCATCATCATCAACATCATCAGCATCATCATCATCATCATCATAATCATCATCATCATCATCATCATCATCATCATCATCATCATCATCATCATTATTGTCATCCTCGTCGTCGTGGTCATCATCGTCATCGTCGTCATCATCGTCGTCATCTTCATCCTCATCGTCATCCTTATCCTCATCGTCGCCGTCGACGTCGTCGTCGTCGTCATTGTCGTCAACATCGTCGTCACCATCTTCTTCGTCATAGCCAGCATCCTTTATCACGACCACCGTCACCATCATCCTCATCATCACAGCTCGCTTCCCTCGCCCATCAGGACCACCGTCGTCAACAATATCAACACCAGGATGATCACAACGCGCTCTTCTCGCTCCTCGAAATCTTGATGCAAATCGGCATCATCACCATCTGGAGCGTAAGCAACTCGCCGCGGAAGATTGTCCGATATGTCTGGAGACCGATCTAGCATCGAGCGCGACACTTTGGCGTCGCGTTTCATTACATTGCATGTGGCCTTCCAGCACGCAACATGATTACACTAGAAATTTGCTGTGGAAGATAGAGCGCATGCGGATACCTGGCAGACAACGAGAGGTGGCCACGAGAGCGCCCTGGACGTCGAAACAAGACACGCAATACGTCAAACCCAGCCCTCCTCCATACCCTCTTCACCCTGAGTTCTGGGACATCAGCTTCCGCCAGCCAACCCTTCACTGCCGTTCCCAGCCCAAGAGGCGCCCAAGAGGGTCCCGAAAGACTTGCAGGAGGCCCCTGGAAGACATCCGGAAAGCATCCCAAAGAGGCCCCTGTTGCAGGCCCCAAACACAGGTTGACCCGATGGCCACTGTAGACATACATACATACATGCATACATACATATATATATATATATACGCAAGCCAAGCATACAAGCATACAAGCATACATACATGCATACATGCATGCATGCATGCATGCATGCCTACATACATACATACATACATGCATGCATGCATGCATACATACATACATTATATGCACGCACGCATGTAGTTTACCCATGATGGTCATGAAATTTGCACATATGACCTTCACATGACACTCAGACACCGATGCCGTCACTTTTGCACAACGTCGACCTCGATCCCTTCCATTGGACCGGTCTTTCGTCCTGAATCGTTGTTCGACGTCCGGAGGGCAAACATAGATAAGCAACGTCGTCTTTTCACACCTCGATAGCCACGAATCGAATCGATAATTATCTCGATCTGTCGAATCGGCGGTCGGAATGAATCGGATCGGCGGAACTCCGCAGCCAAGTCGAGAGATGTCGAACAGGCGGAAATCGGCAGTCAAAATTGAAGCCTCCATGGCGAAATCGGAACCAACATCGCAATCCGAAATCGAATCGAGTCGAACTGGAATCCGTCAAAATCGAATCGAATCGGAGAAGTCGACGTGAACCCTGTAACCCCCCTCTACGAACCTTCGGTGGCAACTCATGGGAGCCTTTCATACCATCTTGTCGGCTCTTGCGAATCGACGCACATCGACGCTAGTCTAGTCGACGCTAATCGACGCTAAGTTCACGCTAAATCGACGCTAATCGACGCCAAATCGGCGCTATCTCATCGACTCCCAGACGCTAATCGACGCTAACCGACGCCAAATACGGGATTGAAGAGGGTACACCAAGCTCCCATGATTTGCTGCCGAACCCTCCTCTACGAACCCCCGACCAAACGCACCCGCTCTAACCCCACAGCAGAGGGCAGAACATCCACCCCCGTAAGAATCGCCCCAACAAGCGAAGCCGTTTAGCAAACGCACCCAAGAAAGGAATCGGGCAGGGTAAGGCTGTGTACTAAACGCCCAGGGCCGTTTATAGAAGAAACAACAACACTACAACCATACACTTTTGGCGCTCCGCGCGGACTTCTTGGATCCGCGCTGGACCCCCCTTCCTGGCAAGCGGAGCGCGACAGGGGCGGCGCCGGAGGCGCCGCAAGGGGGGTCCCAGCGCGGATCCGAGAAATCCGCGCGGAGCGCGAAAAGTTTATGTTTATGGCAGGTTTTCTTCTTCGAATTTCGTAGACGTCAACTGTCGGGTCCGGGTGTTTTTTCCTCCATTGACTCGGGGGAATCCAGGAGGGGGGCGTCCAAGAGGGGGGGGCGCAAATCATGGGCGGCGGCATGTGCGCGGCCCAGTCGGGGGGGGCAGGAACGCATTTGAATAAGAGGAGGTGCCATGAAATCTGGGGAGATATCATGGCCCCCGCTATGATTTGAGCAGGGACCGACCGTCCCGGCACTCCTATAGGCCTACCAAGACCTGTTCTTAGAACCCCAAAATTTTTGAAGAACAAACAATGCTCTTACAGCATAAGCCCGACGTTGTGAAACAGGGCAGTCCCAACCAAAAAAGGTCTAACATTTCTTGCAAACCGCAAAAGGCTCTTCGAACATTCTGTGGTGCGCCTATACGCAAGCCGGGACGCCTCGCCACTGCTTGACTAGTATCGGGAGCGGCCAAGAGAGGGGTGTCCAAGAGGGGGGGGGCAAATCATGACTGGCGACATGTGCGCGGCCCAGCGGGGGGGCCAGGGACGTGATGTGATGAAACAAGAAGAGGCGCCATGAACTCTGAGGAACAATCATGCCCCCCGCCATGAGATCCACCCCCCTCTGGTCATCACCCCCCTCTTTGCCGCCCCCGACTCCCTTGACTTGGGTGTCCCAAAACCGTGTGGTGACAGACCCGGCGGTGACCTCGAAATCCGCAAAGACCTCACCGCACGGTCCGTCACCACAAGGTCCGACTCACCACACGGTGTGGTCACCACACCGTTTGGGAGTCCCCGATTGACACCGGGGCGAAGCCGCCCGCTCTGGCCCGGGGCCGCGCCTTGCCCTCGGCGGCGCCCCCCGCCGGGGCGCCCGCGGCCGCGGCCGCGGCCGCGGCCGAGCTCGGCGTCGCCGGCTCGGCGGCTGGCGACGCGGGCCCCGCCGGCAGCCGGATGCAGAACCTGCCGGCGGGAACAGGGAGAGGCGGCATCAAGACCACCAGGGCGAGGGCGGGGAGGATGGGGGGGAGGGGCAGGAGGAGGAGGAGGGGGAGGAGGAGGAGGAGGGGGAGGAGGAGGAGGAGAGGAGGAGGAGGAGGAGGAGGAGGAGGAGGAGGAGGAAGGAGAGGGAGAGGAGGGAGAGGGAAAGGAGGATGAGGAGGAGGGAGAGGAGGATGAGTATGAGGATGAGGATGAGAATGAGGATGAAGAGGAGGAGGAGAAGGAGGAGGAGGAGGAAGAGGAGGAGAAGGAGAAGGAAGAAAAGGAGGAGGAGGAGGAAGAGGAGGAAGAGGAACCGAGAGAGGAGGAGCACGACGGGCAGGTCGCACCACCAACACCACCAGGGCGAGGAGGCAAGGACAGGCGACACCAACGCCACCAGGGCGAGGATGTGCGAGGAGCAAAAGGGGGGTCCCTGGTGTCCCCCTCCCCCCCCCATCCCGCTCTAGACACCCCCGGCCTCCAGCTCGGGGAGGCATAGTGGACCTCCTCGCAAGAAGTGGCCCCTCTGGCGGTGTTGGTGTCGCGTCCCCTCGCCCCCATGCCAGGGGTCGGGGGTCGGCGGCGAGCGCGGGGGGGCAGTGAAAAGAGCAAGGCCCTCTTGGAAGGCGGCGGGATCTTCTCAGCAGGCCTCCGAAGCCTTCTGAAAACAAGCTTTCGGTGTCTTCGGGGAAGGGTCAGAATGCTTCTCAGTAGGCCGGGGGAGACTCTGGTGACTCTGCCTGATCGCCTGGCGATGTGAATCCACATCCGCCGCAATCTACGATCGGTTGCCGTGCCGCTGGGCTTTCTCAGCCTCCCTGGAAACTTTACACCTGAGCCCAGCCCCGACTCTCTTCAAATATCCTTGCCCTGTGGGGGGGGGGTCCGAGGCCTTTACGTTCTCACTTACCCCCCCCCAGAGTTCGCCGCCGAAGGGGGGCGAAGGCTCCGCGCTCGAGTCCCACATTCTCTCCGGCCCCCCAACAAACAACCGTTTGGTGACGGGCTGCGTGGTGGCCGTGGAACCCCAGCGACCTTACCGCGCGGCGCGTCACCGCAAAGTCTTGGGACCTCGGAAGCCCCAGCCGCTCAACATCCTCGAAAAAACGGACCAAGTCCTGAACCGTGTGGCGGCCCCGAACCCGCACTGATTCACCCCGCGGCGTGGTCGGCACACTGCGTGGGGGCTCCCGAAAACCTCCGACGGTACGATTCACCTCTCGGACCATCCTGTGCTGAGCTGGACCCTCGTGTTGAATCCGCAGCGCGCGCCTCCTCCCTCCTCCGTCCTCCCTCCTCCCCCGTGGCCAGGTCGGCACACCCCTCTGAATTACACGCCCCGTGGCCTCAGGGGCCAGGGGTGAGGGCACGGCCATGTGCACCTTCATTTTTATGTTGCGGGGTGAATGTGGGGGTGGAGCGCAGGGTCCCGCCAATGATGGCGCTATGGGCCACGCATGGGCGATACAGTGAACACGTACATTCAGAACGGGTGACAAGGACGCAAGACCCTTGGAGGCCGAAGCTGGGTTTTTTTGGGGCGGCGGGCGACCAGTGACAACGGCAAGGACGAGCCTCGGAGGCAAGGACACAAGGGCACCCTAGATGACGGTGCTCGTCCTTACTGGGCGCGTTGACCTGCACATCCTCCAACGCTGTGCTCGGCGGGGGAACCACTTGGAGCTCCGCGCCCGCGCCCCTGCGCGAGACTTGGGGGGTGAGCGAAGCAAGGAGGCAGGGGGCTGGGGAGAGGCGACGAAGGCGACGTGCGCTGAGGGCGCAAAGAGGAGAAGAGCGGAATCATCGAGGGCGGAGAAACGCGAGTCAACAGATCCCCGGTCAATCTGACAGGCGGGACACCGCAAATGTTTATGGGGAAAAGGGAACACTTGAACGCACAGCGTGGGACAAACGTAACATAAGCATCCACGGTTCGAAATCAAGTATGAAAGTCTGCACGAAAAGGGCCACAATGTGAATTCACATTGTGGGAATCTTATAAGTGAATTTACATTTTGGGAAAGTAAAAGTGAATTCATAGTTTGGGAAAAAGTGCATTCACATTTGGGGAAAATGGCGGGGCCCGTTCCGAATCTGTCTTCGGGGACGACAAGACATCGTTTGGGAACGTATGAGGTCATCAATCGCACAATCAAGGCACACCTACACTCCACTCCGCCGCCACGTGCGCGATATGCAACAACGCCCTCACGCATGAACGACAGTGGATGGACGGCGCATTTGTCCGCGCGGGCAACGCGCGGGCACGAACGACTGGCCCTTAAGTGACCGCCAACATTGGATGCCAATCCTACCCGATCATATACATTAGCGATATATTGGCCATGTATATGTAGGCCATTCAGAACTCCTTGTTGCGGACCCCTTCTTTCACCCTGCGGCTATGACAAAGGATCATGGTATTGAGGCGACTGCACAGCTCCTGCAGAAATTGAGAAGGCGTCTCAAGCAAAACAGCTGCGGCACAACACGTCCCAGGGCTCCCCGTCCCCGATAGCCCTAACACCCTGGTGCTTATAGCCCTTAGCCTCATAGCCTTATAGCCCTTTAGCCCTAAACAGATTATGATTGGGTTGTTTCCCTGCTGTATATATATAAATGTATGTATACATAAATATAGATTACTTACACGCATATTCATATGTGTGAAATTACAGATACACACATCAATACATATATTTCTATATATATATGCATCTATTCCTTAAATACCAAATATACTATCAAAATTAATTAAATCGCGATAGGGCTATCATCTCTGAGGGCTAAGAAGAATTTCGTCTGAAAAAATACATGGCAATGTAGATATTATTTGAACATGAATTCTTGCACACCTATGCCTGAATTGTTTGTAGCGATTAATTGCTGTATGTTGCGCTTGAAGAATTATGATGATAGTAATAATATTTGATCGTCGTTCGCTCCCTGACCGCATCTTCGAAAAGCCTCCCTCTACAAATGAAGGGGCCCTGGGACACACAAATAAATACACACAAATAAAACGATTCCCCATATTTTCCCATATTTTCTGTTTTTTGTCTTCCCCCCCACTTCCCATATTTTCCTATATTTTCTTGGGAATCGACGATGAATTGTGTCTGTGTGCCTTTTTCCCTCCTGAACAAAGCACTGGTACCAGTGCTGGTGTGCCTCTGTTGGGGACGAGCGTCAGGCCTGAGCAACATGGTGTACAGTCGGGGTTGATTGAAAGGGACACGTTGCCATAGGAATGTGAGAAGGCATGGGTCGCGAAGCACAGGACACGAGGGCACCCTTGAGTTGGCAGGGTCGACCTACTAATCAGCCTCGACTGTACAAATCCTGAGGCGTGTCGTTGCCCAGGTCTGTTCAGAGCACGCCCGTGACGCTGCTCATAGGATGTATGCTTCGTCAGCGTGCCCGTCGCCCCTGCGAGGCCGACGCGCACGCGCGTAGAAGCATGTTCGAATGCTGGCGATTCGAGGCCAACAAAGGAGACACATGAAGAAGAACATACGCCATGCACATAAGCTTGCGGCGCTCCGCGCGGATTTCTTGCATCCGTGCTGGACCCCTCCCTGGCGCGCGGAGCGCGCCAGGGGTGGCGCCGGAGGCGCCGCCTGGGGGAGCCCAGCGCGGATCCGAGAAATCCGCACGGAGCGCCAACAATTTATGTGTGCCGCTTCTTGTTTCGAATGATCGAGTGCTGGCGACTCGAGGCCATCCGCGGTGACCCAGACGCGGAAGAATGCAGCCCCCACTTCGGTGGCAAGGCTCAGAAGGCTCGCAAGTGCCTCGGCCCCCCGAGGAGTTGTCTGAACCTCACCAGGAGGCGCACAAGACTTCTCGCAAGAGGCCGGAGGGCTTCTGGGAAGCCCCGCCGCTGCCTGAGAAGGCCTCCGCCTTCTCACTTCCCCTCCTCGCCACATCGAGAGCCACCTCGGGACCGAGAGGAGGCGGGGCTCCCTTCGGTGGCAATTCATGGGGGCCTCCCATACCATCGTGTCGGCTCTTGCGAATCGACGCTAGTCGACGCTAGATCGACGCTCATCGACGCTAAAGCGACACTTATCGACGCTAACCGACTCATCGGAGCTATCTCATCGACTCCAGATGCTAATCGACATTAACCGACGCTAAAGGGGGAATTAAAAGGATACACCAGCGCAACTTTCCCGTCAATGAACCGACCCCCCCCACAGGCGCACGTGCCACGTTAATGGAGAGAGGCGGGGTCGGGAGGCTGCAGCCTCACGCTCGGCTGTGGAGGCCTGATGCCTGGCTCCTCGGGCTCCACGGGGTCATCCATGGACGCGTCTTCCTGGGGTCAAAGAAGTTGGTGGCGAGCACAAGTGCGGGTCCCAAGAATATGCACCACCGCCACCATTCCCCCTCCCCCCTCTACCCTCCTGCTCCCCGCCTCTTTCCTGGGAGAGCGATGGGATTAAGGAGGTGGTGGTGGTGTGTATGATTCGGCCCCGCAACAAGGGAGGCGATGTGCACTGGGGTCCATTCGCCGAGAGGGAAGCATGAAGCGCCGCAGGTAGCAAAACTGTGCTCCTGGGCGTCAGGCGTTGCGGCTCGCCATCGTCACAAAAGATCCGCTCTGCATCTCTCCCTGACGACACTATCGCGTGGCGGTGTTTTCGAATACTGCGCTGGCGTGGACTCCAAGCAGCTGAGTGCTATACGTACTCGCGCCACGGATAGAGGATTACGAACGCACATGCAACACCCGCAGCGTTTTCTCTGCCCGGTGACGCTGCCGAGGTACAGCGGAGCCCTGTCATACGAGTGCGGACGCTCCCAGCACGCGAGACCAATACACACGACCACAAGACAGCGCGCCGTTTGGGGCTCAATGCCAGCCCAGACGGCGAACATCAATCAGGCGCGGCCCCGTAGCAACTGCGAAGGCTGGCCGCTGTGGGTCCCACCCGCCTCCTCATCCTAAGCTTCGACCTCGTCGTCGGCGCCTGGGCATCACGACAAGATGAGGCCGTCTCATCCGAAGTCAACCTGCCCACCTCTGTGCAGACAACGCGTCGGTTGAGCAATGGGCTGCGCCCTGGGTTGTGCCACCATCGTGGTGCGCCGTGGGCGGCGCCGTCCATGGGCTGCGCCAAAGGATGCGATATCCGTGGGTTGCGCCATCCATGGGCTGCGCCACGAGTTGCGTCATCCATGGGTTCCGCCATCCGTGGGTTGCGCCATAGGTAGTCCCCAATGCTGCGCCCATGGCAACACATATTGCATCATGGGCTGCGCCACCCATGGGATGCGCCGCGCATTGCGCCGTCCATGGGTTGCGCCACACGTTGCACCCGGGTTGCGCCGCAGGGTACGCCCGGAATAAGAAACTGCCTGCTGAAGGATGCGCCATCAGTTGCCCCATTGGGGAACGAAAATACGTGTGCCTGCACAGTGTTGCCCAAGTCGCGGCGTCCTCGGTGGCTCAACCAAAGAACTGCCAGCCAAGGGATGTGCCACAAATTGCGCACACGGCGACCGACATGTTGCTGCATGAGAACGGGTACGACCAGCCAGTCGCTCACCCCACCAGGGTCACTTGAGGCGATGCGTCGGACTGTAATTAGGGGTGGGGGGAGTTTGTGACCCACCCCTTTTGACCGACGTCCGCCACGATTGCCCTCCCTTGCCCTGGGCGTCCCCAAAGATTTTCCCGAATGCAGTCCACGAAGCAATGGTCGCTTGGCCGGCTGCTCATGCCCTTTCGCGGACACGAAGAAACTATGACTCACCCATGGCGGCGATCGCGTCGCGCCGGAGGCCTTCCAACTCGCACAACATGCTGAGTTCACGGTGGTCAGCCCTCTCTGTTTCACTTGATGTTTCCAGTCTTGCGTCCTCGTCCTCTCGCTGCTCCTCTTCCCGATGTTGCCCACCCTCCTGATCATCATGATCGTGCTCCTGGTTGTCATCCGAACCAACCTAACATTCAACCTACACGATGCGCGAAACAACTTTGTCCCCACGCCCCCCCACAAGCGACCTACTCGTAAGCGATCGACCTCCTCCTTGGTTGATCCGACTCGCCCCCCTTTTCCATGTGCTCCTCCGACAGCCTCCTTTTTCAGCCACACGTGCTCGGATCGACCCACGCATGAGGCTGACACGTCGGCGGCCAGGGCCCCTCCCCATTGGCAAACGACTATCGTCAGCCGATTACGTTCACAGGTGTCCTCGTGTTGTCCTCTGTCAAGGCAACGTGCACAAGAGACCCATTCTGGATGGTTTTTTTTCGGGATACGCGAAGCATCAATGATGGCAACCTACACGTTATTTTTCGTGACTGTCAAAACGTGATTCTTTCTCGCCCTCGCAATTCCGTGGACATTGGAAACATGTGTTCCATCCGGCATGGAAAAGCTACGAGCCTCGCCCAAGTGCTGATCGGTTCGAAAAAAAGTCCGCCACCGTGCCCCGAGACACGAAGTTGAGTGTCGTCAGGTCCCTGCGAGGTCTCTTATTTCTGAATCTTGCAACTGTTCCCTCACGGGGCCGAGCCCCCCGATTTCTGAGGATTTCCGGGCGCCCCTGGCGAAAAATGCAAGAACAAACCATAAACTGTTGTTGAACATTTGGAACTGGGCACCAACACCAACACAGGAGTGTGCGTCTACCAGGGGAACATGTTTCTAGATTTCGGTGTCAGTGGTGCTTTGAAAGGGGTTTCTGAGGAAATCACTTACGTCCGGCGCCTGAGAAAGTCGCTTCCCGTAGCGCACCCTCAAGGACGATTTCCAGCGATGGGCCGGGCGCGCCAAGCGCACCGGGCGTGTCCCGATCTGGCTCCCTCGCTCGAGACATCCTCGCAAAATCGCTCCACGGGCCCCCATGGCACCCCCAGGGACCAAGTGGGCGCCGGGCGCAATGCCTTCGCAATAAATCGCTGGCACAATATCCCCCGAATGAACTTCACAATCTCGCCCTTCCCCTCACGAAGGCAAGCGCCAGCGGCAACGCAAATGCTCCAATCAACCAACCGAATCCAACCAGACAGCCAAGCCGTAATTGTGAAGAGACGGGTCGGGCGGGAAGGGCGGCAAGGCGACGACGATGGCAGCGGCGGCAGGGTTCGGATGGGAAGGGGGACAAGATGGAATAACGATCCAGGACCGAACAATCAACCAATCAACCTGCCAAAGAGACGACACACCAGCCAACTAACGAACCAGCCAACCGAACGCCGTAACGATCTTGTTTGAGGCGTCCGCCTGAGCCATTTTTTCTATGTAGGCGCGAATGGGCCAATGTCATACCCACTGGCGTTTTTTTCACCTTGGGGTGCCCAAGCGCCACGCCGGCTACATCGCGACGAGCACGGGTCTTCGAATATATATATATATATATATATAGAGAGAGAGAGAGAGAGAGAGGTCTTGGCAGCATAGCAGGAAACCCGTCTTGAGAACTCCCCAGCGTCTGGGTGCGAACGGGCCGATGTTTTGCCCCCCGACAGCTCCTGCTGAGAGTGCTCACGTGCCACGCCTGCAACATCGCGATGGACATGGGGCCATGGAGAGAGAGACAGAGAGAGATAGAAGGAGAGAGAGAAATAAAGAAATAAAGAAACGAACAACAAAAAAAGTCTGGTCAACCGCGCAGTCGGGGCGCGAACGGGCAAGTGTCGTATCTCCTGTCGGCTCCCCCTGGGGTGTTCTTCAAGTGCAACGCCTGCTACATCGTGAGGGGAATAAACAAGAAAAATCCAAGTGGCCAAACAGGCAAGCCGCTTGACACATTCCCACAGACTGGCAGCGAACGGGCACATGACATAACCCCTTGACGGCTCCCCAGTGTCAAATACCACGCCCGCTACCCCGCGATGAGCATGGGGCTCTAGAAGAGAGTGAAAGAGAGAGAGAGAGAGACAGAGATATAGATGGTCAACAGAATAAGCAAAGGGCCTGGGACATCCCCATCTGGGCGCGAACGACCCAATTTGACACCTCCTGGCGGCTCCCCCTTGGGGTCTTCACGTGCCATGCCTGCTACATCGCGATGAGAATGGGGACCCGATGAGAGAGTAGCCTGCAGACACAACCCGCAGCTCACCCGAGGCACCCGCGCAGTCTGGGCGCGGACGGGCACATGCCATACCCCTGGCGGTTCCCTCTCGTGGTGCGCAAGTGCCACGATTGCCACATGGCGCTAGGCATGGTGCTCTGACAGCTGGGAGCGACACATGCACACCGCCCGACTCACGCCCACAATCTGGGCGAGAACGGGCCAAAGTTATATCCGTTGGCGGGTCTCCCTTGGGGGGCCCAAGTGACACGCGAGGCGCATGGGAGTGTGAAAAGAATTAGCCTGGCGAAGGGCCCAAACATGCAGTTGTGAGTGCCTGTTGGGCCAGGAAGCGTGTGAGGGGTATGTCGAGATAGGTGCGGCGGGCGCATGCGAACGCCGCCACTGGGGCATTCGGTGAAGCTCCCCATGGGGCTACGAGGCGTGTGAAGGGTGTGCCGAAGTGGGTGCGGCGGGCGCATGCGAACGCAACCACTGGGGCCTTCAGTGGAGCTCCCTATGGGACAACGGAACGTGTGAGGGGTGTGCCGACATGGGTCCGGCGGGCGCATGCGAACGCAACCACTGGGGCCTTCGGTGAAGCTCCCTATGGGGCCACGAAGCGTGTGAAGGGTGTGCCGAAGTGGGTGCGGCGGGCGCATGCGAACGCAAAAACTGGGGCCTTCAGTGGAGTTCCCTATGGGACAACGGAACGTGTGAAGGGTGTGCCGGCATGGGTGCGGCGGGCGCATGCGAATGCAACCTCTGGGGCATTCGGTGGAGCTCCCTATGGGGCCACGAAGCGTGTGAGGATTGTGCCGACATGTGTGCTGCGGGCGCATGCGACCGCAGCCACTGGGGCCTCCGGTGGAGCTCCCTAGGGTGTGCCGACATGGGTGCGGCGGGCGCATGCGAACGCAGGCACTGGGCCTCCGATGGAGCTCTCTGCGGGACCAAAACGTATGAAGGGTGTGCTGAAATGTGTGCGGCGGGCGCATGCGGACGCAGCCACTGGGGTCTTTGGTGGAGCTCTCCGTGGGGCCACAAAACGTGTGAGGGTGCCGACAAGGGTGCGGCGGGCGCATGCGGACGCAGCCACTGGGGCCTTCGGTGGAGCCCCCATACCCATATGGTGCGGCGGGCGCATACGAACGCAGCCACTGGGGCATTCGGTGGAGCTTCTTATGGGGTCACGCAGCGTGTGAGTATGCCGGAAAGAGTGCGGCGGTCGCATGCGAACGCTTGCATTTGAGCTTTCGGTGGAGCTCCCTCTGGGGCCACGAAACGCGT